CTTTTCTCGGGCCATTAGCTCCGTTACCGTTTAACTTTGGACATAGGTGTTTTGGGTTATATCGGCATACTTTAACATAAGGAACACCCTCCCGAAGTTTGGCACATTCCTCCTGGGACACCCTGTATACAATCTTGTGGTGTTATATCTTTGCTCTTTAGATTCTTTGACATATCTTCAAGTAGTTTCCATACAGGAATGACAGATGGCAGGAGCTTTACATTACACCATATCAAGATGTATTTTCTTTATCTTTTTGGACAAATTAATTACGTGAAGGTGTAAAATACCACATATAGACTGAATTCCAGCAGAGAGGTGTAACATTAAAATCTGACAATAGAAAACTGATTAATCCTACCTGGAATAAGGAACAATTGCCTCAGCAGTGGAAAGAATCTACTTCTGAACCTCTGTATAAGATGGGTGACAAATGGATGTTGTAATTATTAAGGCATATCACCGTTGTCAACTTTGTACAACATTGTATCCAACATTCTTCTCTCAGGGATAACTTCATCTGTAGAATAAATCACTGGGGACTACCAGTGTGCCTTTCAATGTAATCGATCAACTACTGATCAAATTTTCTGAGTGTGTCAGATACTGGAGATGTTATGGGAATGATGATAAGGTAGTGCATCAATCATGTATACACTTCAAGTAAGACGATGAGTCAGTTACAANTGGAAGAATATGACCGCGGGCTGCAAGAGGAGTGTGGGTTTTATGCGAAAACAAGGGTGTGGGGTGGGACTGCGTGAATAGTGCAAGAGGACGTGGCAGGTTGTTAACTGCATTCCTTTCCTAGAATCTCGTCTAACAGGACCTCACATTGTCTACTTACCCTATAGTGTTCCTGCCTAAACCCAGAGAAGTGCAGCAGTGAAAACATGGCAATGAAAAGGAAAGTTTTAAGCATTGAAGAGAAAGTTAAAGTGATTCGTGAAATAGAAAATGGAAGGAAAAAAGCTGATGTATGCCACGAATTTGGTTTGGTGAATTCTACAGTACAAACGATATGGAGAATCCATATTAATTCCATGTTAATGTTACATTAGTCTGTACTTAACTACGTATTTCACTAAAAAATGCAACATTTTAACTCGGCTTTTGGTAGATTTTTACGTGACTAACATAAGGCTACTGTGGAAGTGCTCATTTCGGTTACAACGACATTCGTTTATAACGACACTATTTTCAGGTCCCTCTGATGACGTTATAACCAAGTTCTACTGTATTATGTAATATTTTATATTCTATCAGTTTTGTACAATCATAAAACTAATTAGGCTAATTAAAACGTGTGTACAGGTGAAAATTTTGTCCAATATATTTCCCATTCAGAATGGTCTCAAAACAAGTCCATACATTATCAAATGTTCAATGGTGCTTTAAAATATGCCTTTAAGTAGGTCCAAGAAAACCCAGGGGACTGATTGTGGAAGGGACACATCAGCTTCTGATTTATGGCGATAATGTTAATTTTTTTTTCTTCCTTGGTATTACAGCTGCAGTGGGCCTAGGCCTACCTCCATGAACTTCTCTGTTCACTTCGGTTTTTCTAGATCTTACATATTCGGTAGGACTCCTTGGGCGGGTGATCAGCTCATCGCAAGGCCTCTACCTGTACACAAACACAGAAAAATGCACACATACAAACTAAACATCCATGCCTTGAGTGGGATTCGAACCCACGAACCTGGTTTCCAAGCGAGCGGGGACAGTACATGCCTTAGACCACTCGGCTACCATGACCGGCAATAATGTTAATTTACCGGCTATCAATCTTTAGTTCCATGAAATGGTGGGAATTTATTGTGTTCCACGCAGGATTCTAAGGTTAGGTAATTTGTAGCTGTGAGAGTGAGGCTGAAAATGCAGAAGATGAGAAAGGTTTATCTGTTGTTTCCTTGCCTGGTATAGGCGGACGTGGACAATTCTCGTTGAAGGTATGCTTTGGATTCTCCACAGTACTCATCCTGCCCTGCAAGAGCTTCCAGTGCGATGCTGCAGCTGTGACTCACAACACCGGCAAGGCATTGCGCGGCAAACAGCAAATCTGCAAACCATTAGAAATGTTATACAAGTACAGTAGCATCGTACCATTTGCAAGAGAAAATTTATCAGCTACCCAGTCAACACAATCCTGGTATTGACACACCATACATGGGCACATACTTCATCTTTCGACCTACTGCGTCCATCATAAGGTATATAGAGCCTCTGTAATTACCATTCCTTCTATCTGCTATACCACCCTACACTAGCCAGTGTTTACAAATTGGGAGTGCGTCATACAGGTGTGTTCTGCCTTTCATGCAGGCATCACACACTCTACACAATGGCAGACCATGGGAAGAACAGAACATGGGAACAACACAACACACAACCAGAACATCAACATAAGATCATAGGAAGAATCCCATACTAAACGAAAATGCACAATGGCAAACACCACCTACAAATCTAGCAACACAAAATGGATGGGAGTGGGAGGGGGAGTGGCATTACTGCTGAAAGCCAGAATTGTGAAGTCAGCAGACAGAGCTGTTCAGTTGTTGCTAAGGAACGGTTCTATCAACATGCCCGTTTCTAGGTAACAGCTCAGTAGCCAATACTCCCAAGACACACATGAAACATTAGAAGAGCTGCTGGATGATGTTTTCTATGTGGTCCATGCCGAGGCTATATATAATGAGGACCAGCTGCCATTAGGAAAATATAAGAGGCTTAAACTTGGCAGTGGTCAAGCTTACAACTGTTCATATGACTAAGTTGTCTTTGTAGCATAAGATGTAAGTTAAGCATGATCTGCTCTGTAAAGCCTGTATTGACAGAGGACTTTTGCGTAGTGCAAAAGAAAGAATTTTCAATAACATATTATATGTACGAAATATATATTTGACGAAAGGCCAAGTGTATTCACAAGGGACAAACCCATCTTCTTGTCAGAGAGGATGTTACATCAGGACTATTACCGCAAGAGTTCAGTGGGGGGAAAAAAACTCTGGTCATGGACCTCAAGGGGCCTGACACAAAGATGAACTGATTGGCAGTAAACTGCCATTCATAAAGTAACTCTGACTTTGACATGAGGAGTCAGTCAAGAGAGACAGCCTGCAGGCAGACAGTCAGTTGTGAGAAGTGAGAAGCTGGTAGCTGAGGCGAGGGACAATTTGGGAACCTACAGGAAGGAGAATGTCTGCTATTGGAAGCCGCTACCAAGCCACACAGTGCAGACCATGACTGAGAACATCAGTCTATGTGAGACAGTGATTTATAAACACAACATGATGGTTCCTTACCATGTTCAGAAGAGCCCACTACTTGGCTCTTCTCAAGACATTTCAAATGAGTCCACCTGCTGACAGCCCATTTTCCTAGGATCCACTTTAATATTATCCTCTCATCTATGCCTGTGTCTAGCATACCAAGACTTAAGAAAGAAGACCCATGAACAGTGGAGATGACGGTACTGAGGCTTCCCCTCTCTGCCTACTGTTACATTCCCTTTGACTTCCCCACTGACCTACTTCAACCAGTCCAAGGGGCTTGCTGGTTGGAAAATTCATGGGAGTAAACTGGAGGGAATAAGCGAACAGCTCAATGGAGATGTTGAGGGGGTCCTGAACTTCTTTTGGCACCTTCCATATAAATGGTCTCCCTCTTTGAGGTGTCCTGACTGCCTTACTGCCCCCATGAGTTCTACTTGCCCTGCTCATCCTGTCTTCATTAATATACCCAAAAGTACAAATCTTGTAGTTTCTTATTACATAATTTTCTGTAGCCCTCTTTCTAGGGCAAAAACATTCTCATCAATAACACATGCTTTCCTGCTGCAGGTGTCATCACAATGGAACCCAGGGTAAGTTGCATTAAAACATGTTTTGCAGGTGGAACTGCATTTATATTCATTGTGTTCAGACACAGCAGCATAAGAAAATGATGAATATTTCAAGAAGAGGAGGGGGAAGGAGGGAGGGAGAGGAAGAATAGGACTACATTAGTTTCAGCATGTTTGTAAGATGAGAATAAGCAACAGAGAAAATTTACCTTTAAAAAGAGTTGCAGGTTATATTCTGTACCTAACACATCTTTGGGGGTGTGTCATCATCAGACAGCAACACAGATTTCACCATTCAAAGTTACCAGATTCTATTTTCAAGAAATGAGGGGCACCAATATCACCATAACAGAGACCTTGCTTAATATATATGGTGTTTCTTCTGTAGGGCACTCTGCTCAAGGTATAATGTACCCTCAAAGACATCCTTGATACACAATGTGTATGGGCTGTTGTTGCAAAGTCAGACCACAGAAAAAAATTAAATATTTCAGATCCCCAGACCCTTACTGAAGTTTTGAGCTGCCAAAATTTCAATAATCTGTTCCCTATCACCCATATTCAGTCCCCATTACATGGTACATCTATATTGAAGGTGGTGGGGAGAGACACGCATCGACAAAATGGCTGCAAGAGGTACCTCTTGATTCCACCATGATTCATATTACGTACCAAGCATCAATCGATCGATACTGGTAGCCGGACCCTCGCAAGAGAGAACAAAGAACATACGCTGTATAGGTTTTCAAATAAGAGCCTTTACAAAACTTCATGATATACCTGCTATTGTTGAATAAAGATTGTTTCAGACCATCTGTCTAAGAATGCATGCCTACCTAAACCTCACACTGGCTTAAAACATGCTGGATGGTTAGATTCATGTAAATTGCACAACTGGTTTCCTTCCTGTTATCCAGAAGTGAAAAATAACAAAAATGTAACTAATATTTTCTTAAAAAAAAAAAAGTTATAAATAGATATATCAACAATTAAAAATAATTAAGCCAACTAATATAGACAACAACATTCCTCCAGAGTAAATATCTGGACTTTCAATGCTAAAAACAATATTTCTCTGTTACATACCAACTTCATGCTTATCACACACGACACATCGGATTTCTTGAACAAAGACTTAATTCACAAAGAGTATTTATTTTTTGTCTGGAATATAAAGACTACTGCAATGTTTTTAACGCCACTTTTCTCTCTGAGAAATAAACTATTGACTATATTGAAGGTCTGGGGGTGCGCACTAGGAGCCTCCAGCAGCTGCGCACAGAATCCCAGCGTCGCATTTCTCAAATCGATGCTTGTTGCATTATCATAATCAGCGATGCCTTCAATATGAATCAACTACTTATGATTTCCCCTGTCAGTGCCATTATACTATGAAATTCTATACATCTAATATAATATAGCTGTGACCATACTTTTTTACCCAACCCAAAAATATGACATGGGAACAAAAGAATCAATGCTGTTCCTCTTTATATGAGTTTTGTTAAAACGTTCATTGTTCACTTGTAATATGTACTTCGAATTATGACTGACAGATACCTATCAATACAGGTCCTCACGGTTGGCAAGACAACTGTCCTCATTCCATGGAAGACTAACCAATTTGTGGATTCAATGGCCATAACAGACTAGACAGGAACCTACCTTCCTGCCTTTGTATAAGATTTAGCAAACAACTCTTACGTAAAGAAGTTTTAAAAACCTCACCCTATGCTGTTGAATCAGACATCTTTCTATTGTGATGGGTTATGACAGCTCTTACAATGAGCAAAGTAGAGAACTCTCAAATACCTTGAAGGTATAAACAACACTCTTGTCATTAGCCATAACACACTGTTAGCTTTATTTTACGGAATAAATCATGAATGAAAAGTCTGAATTAGTAATATCCATATATTTCACCTATACCTGATACTCATCTTGCAAAGCAGTGCAAGGTTTTACCTCATGATAATTCCCACCTTATTCTTTGAATCACTTTAAAGAATTTAAACAAACTAACGCTGCATTTTTTTTTTTGTTTGAAGAAAACTTAAATCAACAAACATTCTGAAGAAAAAACTATTTCTGCAAAGATCTAGCAATAATTTTATGTAACTGTTAACATATTTTGCAGCCATTCTGAAAGATATATCAAACACTTTTCAAGCACTGATGATAGCACTGGAAGGCAAATTTTTATTGTTCAATTATCGGAACACGTAGAGCTCACTAACTTGTCATACATAACAATCAAACCATATAGGGAAAAGAAAGAACAAAATCAAATTCTGAGACTACTGTAATTCTAAACAGGGTACAAGAGAAACTGCAGGTGTCCTGTAAATTTAGAACCACATGCCATATTGGAGTTTCGAACAGCTGTTACCAAATATGATCAACATAGTCACCATTCACTCAACTTCTTGCTGACTGCAACTTCCACATGCCAGAATTACTTCTACACATTTGTCTTTACTCAGCATCATCACCAGCAATGGTAACAAAGACCTGCCTATGGACCAGATTTGTGAATCATCTGTACAATAAATTCTTGTAATGTGAAATCCAAGGTTCTGATGGTAGTGAATACAAGGATTACTGGCTTCTGGGATGTGACGCTATGTAGTCAAACAAAAAGGTAACAATTCAGAAGAACATGCGGTTTCCATCTTCAGGGTAGAGGATGGGGACACCAGGTTCGTCAAAAATGTTAGTACATATCTACCAAACTACAAAGCCTTATGTCCATGAACAGATCCACATCAGCTTAAACTACTGACATTTCTGTATGGTAAGGGACGTAACTGAGTCTGTTGGGTGAGACCTTCTTGAGAAGCCAGTCAAGAAATAGCCTGCTCCTCTTGGACTACAAAGGTTCAGTACCACAAGATCCCATCACTGGTCCCTATCCTCAGCCAAATGAATTCAGTCCAAACCTACCCACCCTATCTCTTCAAGTCTATTTTAATATTATCATGTTTCCTATGCAGAGGACTTCAAAAGGAAAGTTTACCAATACAGATTTGCAAGTTATCACCATTCAGTACCATCCTTTCCAGCACCTTATCTACTGAAACTTGTTACAGATATTACACAACAGAATCCTTCTATACATTCAGAGATTTGCCCTGTTACATCAGTGCTGGGGGAAAAGCTGGCACACAGAGCCTGTCCAGAGGCTTAGAGATAGCAAACCCACAGCTCGACTGCCA